GCATGACTGTGTTTAATATTTTATTTTAGATATTTGCTTAAGTATTTGGTATTTTGAACTCTTAATGATAATCAATTAATGAAGATTATTTAACACACTTATAATTTATGATTGATTATTAAAATATGATAATCATATATATATATATATATATATGTCTTTTTAAAGATGGATAATTTCTTAATCTTTTGTTAAAACTTGAAAACAATTGATAATTGTTTAAAATTTTATTTTTTCTCCTATAAAAATCAATTTCAATTTACATTTTGAAATTTTTACCTAATTAAATTTTTAATTTGATTTGTTATGATATTTCGATTTATTAACACACTGATTTTTAAGCAAAATTTTTATTATTCTGTATACTTCAATAATGGGGAGATCTCTTAATTACATAAAATATTTTATGTTCTATTATTGCATTATCATTAGCGATATGTTTGTAAAATATTTTTAAAAACCAAATAAAGTAAAATAAGTAAAGACTGAATTTTACACACACACACACACATATATATATATATATAATAGCTTATAGCTTATTGAAGGAGTGATAAAGTGAAATATAGATTTATTAAATCTACTCCAAGAACTCTTAACTTTCAAGTAATGAACTCTAATTTTATTGTAGATTCCTATTCTAGGTAAGTACTACAAGATCTCATATATTAAAACTCGTGGTTATGGACTCGAATCTATTAGTATGCAATATTTTTTTTCTAAATAAAATTCTTTAGTATGTAAAAAACTAAGAAAATACTTTTATTATTGTGTAATCCTTTTTGGTCCCCATGAACGAAGAAGACTAGGCTAGTCTAAAGATGGTTATTGGTTCAAGCACGCTAGAGGGGTTGAATTAACCGAAACCAATTTTCCAATAGCTAAATACTTCAATTGTTGAAGAATCAGAACTTGAGGATTATTATTTGGTTCAAGCTCTTAGCCCTGAGAACCATCTTGAATGGTTTGCATGTTAGTAGCAGTAACATTTGAATTAAAAAGGCTAACTTTAGTGATAGCGCAACCCTCACTTACTTAAAAGCTTTTGGATTGGTTGGGTTATTATCATGAAAGAAAATCAAAGCATTATTTATACCTTCAGCCATCCAAACATTCACCTCAATAAGTGCATTTTGAACAAGCCATTTTGATTCAGATGATCGGTTCAGTGATAGATGTAGACAGTATTAATAATATTGGTTCTTAGGACATAAGACATTACCGGTGATAGGTCGACACAAAGTTCCTTATTTACCACTTTGCATTTGTAATGAGTATGACTTTGTCCTCTACAATGCGTGCATAAATTAGGTATTCAAAAAGAAATGATTTTTTACTATTGATCCATACATAGTAAATCCAATCTAAACATGATTTTAAAGATTTTTTTAGAAGATCAACTTTTATATAAACTCTAGTTATGTTGTTTGAGAGATTAATTAGATTAAATTTATATATTTGTTAAATTAATTAATTGTCCAAGTTTATTGTACGTAATGAAATATATATATAACACAGAAGGATTTTTCCATACCACCGACATTAAAAAAAACTTTGGTCAACCAGCCATATTAGTATAAAACACTAATAAAATACTTTAAGGTAAAAAAATTTAAAATTATGTAATATAAGGAAACACAATAATTTACTCTGACTTAAATATGTGACTATTTATTTTTAGTTCATTAGACTTATATTAAACTCAATCTAAGTTAAATAATAGTTTATTAATTTTTCTATTTGAAATATAAAATTTTATTTTATTTTTACTTTAAATATATGGTATTAATTTACTTATTTTGATATATTTTGAAAAAAAAATTTCAAAACCCTATTTACTATTTTTATATGCACCTAAACCAACGAACTACTATCATATCTTCAAACTATCATTTAAATCATCATAAAAAATTTTCTCAAGAAAAACCAAAGAAAAAAATCATCAAATATAATATAAAAATTAAATTATAAAAACTCAAACATAATTGAATATTTTTTTTTTTGTAAACATGCTTATATATACAAACTCGTAGTACAACGCCTAGTGAAAACAGTGATCACGTCCTCCAAGAGCCAATCAGATTGCACCTGTCACTCACTTCCATGCTCGACTCGTGAGATAATCATCGTCCCCAGGCCGCATACTCGCATTAAATTCCCAAAATGCCCTTCCGTCATTCGCAAAATTTCAAGTTCTCTCTTATATGCAGTCACCAACCTCATTTCTTCTCTTTTTCATCGTACGAAAGAGAGCAGGAGAGGGAGAGGGAGAGGGAGAGATAGAGGGAGGAGTATAGGTCGGGATTCAGGTCATTGAGCATTTGGAACGGGAAACTAGAGAGGGGAAGAGCTCCGACTTGCAGGTAACGAAGCGACACGGGAAAAGAGCGCTTGAATTGTACTTGCAAAAGTTAGGGTTTTGGGAGGGTAAAAAAAATCGAGTTGTTAG